GAATGGTGTACTCGTGATATTTAATACCAAGTGTTGTCCTCCTAGCCGATCGCAGTGGTCACGAGGTCTAAAGCATGAACTATCTTCGCCCTTTCGAACACTGGGATCGTGGGTTCGAATCCAACTCGAGGCATGGATGTCTGTTTGTCTTCAGTCTTTGTTTTGTAGGTAGCGGCCTTGCGACGCGTGGATCTCCCGTCCAAGGAGTCCTACTGTTTGTCCTAGGATTAAGAAACTGAAGTGAAGCAAAGCGTTTCACGGATGCTCTATGCTCCGAAGTGGAAGTAACAGGAAAAGAGAGAGATTGTCCTTCTAATGAGTACTACCTTGATGTAGTTGAAGAGCTTATGTGACTCTTGGAAATGAAGACGGTCAAGAGGCCAGACCAGAAAGAGTGAGATGGGAGGGGTTAAGTAGAAGGACGTGTAATACTGACGGTACTTATGGAGCAGAAGAATGTGTGGAAGAGAAGACGAAAAAGAACTGGGACTATTTAATTATTCAGTAGTTTATTATGTCCATATTGACAAAGACGCCGAACACATGTTATAATCTGTCAGATAAATGCCTTTTTCTGCAAGCTAAAATAATGATAATTAATTCAATAAAAACAAGAAGTGTCGTAGGGTAATGGAGTCGGTTATCCGTATAATTTTTCGTCGTCACTAAATGGAAACGGTAAACAGGTTTAGGCACGGAAAGTGGCTACAGCCACCTGCTTACTCTGGTTCCTCGCTCGCGGAATTCTATACCCTGAAGGTGGAGGCGATATGTTCCTTCGAAACGACAGATTACTCTATATCTACAAGGGGTCACATCCCAGAAGATGGAATTCTTCAGTTCTTTCTGTGATTTGCTTTATGAAGCTCTCATATTCTTAGAAAGCGGCCTCTGTGGTCTAATGGTCAGAGTTCCTGCCTACATATCCAGAGGTCCGGGTTCGATTCCCGTCACTACCAGTTTTTATGAGAAGTAGTTGGTCTGGAACGAGGTCCACTCAGCCTCATGAGGATATACTATAGTTCTCTTGCGAACTACAGGCCACGGAGTTTGTTTTGTCAGATTCTCAGATTACATAACGTCGAATGAGAAACAGCGGTGATTAATGAATTGGGAAGGATCTGGAAGGAGCCGCCGTGACAGAATTGAAGTACTGTCGTGACACTTCCCTGGAACCGAGAGATACCACAATCACCATTCATCTCCAAATAGTGTTGACACTAAAAATGCACGGACAAATAGCACAGATCCTCTTATGTCTTTATGGTGTGGTGCTTAATTAAGCGCAGGGACAACTTCACATTTTCATCTCTTAAGAGAGATGTTCTATAATGACTGAAACATTTATGCGATGAGTATATTGTAATTTTAGTTAAACTTGTAAGATGATTCCGTTGAAAACAATATAGACAGTAGGTTATTTCGAAACGTTAATATTTAACTATGATACTTCATTTATTCATAACTAAAACAATCGTAGTCTTAATTTTCACTTCCGTTAAAATACGAACCCACACCTACATATTTCTGTTCATAAAATGGATTTTATGTTCCACGTCAACTGGGAAGTTCTGTCTGAAACGCATTCGTCTGGCTCAGAACGGAGACAGCTGCCTAATTGTGTGAACATTATGTAAAACAGCCCTTATATTTGACATCTCTGTGTCATGCTCTTGAGATGCTGCTAATAGCTCAGTTACTCAAGAAATTCCCCGATTTGTACGAACCCAGAAGATTTATTACTGCGTCACATGAACCACCCATACGTCTCTACCTTGAGATTTGAAACTATGAGAACCAAACCACATTCACTCAGCAGTTTTGAGATACACCCCAAATACACAATTTCATCTGGGTACCGCTGTTGGAAGGGGCACGCGATGGCGTAGTTGGTTGAGGCACTATGCTATAAGCCGGAAGGTCACTGGTTCAAGTCCCGATGAGATCATTGGATTTTTTTCAATTGACCTAATCCTTCCGGCCGTACTATGGCCCTGGGGTCGACTCAGCCTCTAACAGAAATGAGTACCAGGAATTAATTAAACAATTTTCCTGGGGAGTAAATTGCGGCCGGCGCCTAAGGCTGACAACCTTACCGCCATCTGTGAGCCGATTTTCTAGAGAGTATGTGAGATCCTCGAAGTCTCACAACCCTATGGGCCTTCACGGCCTGTGGAAAGCTTTACTTTACGTGTTACTTTACCGCTGTTGGAATTCGTGAAACGAGAGACCCAACTTTCACATTTTGCGTTCATTTCATGAACTTTTGTGTAAGTAGAAGCTCATAAAACTTCATGCGGAACCTGTGTGGCGTGCAAATCATATGCAAATGTGCAGGAAAGAGGGGCCGCAAGCCAAGTAACTCTTGTCCATATATCACAAGCAAAAAGGGAAGACAAGAATCGTGATCCGGTTAACTTGTTTTTTATTTTCTTTTTGTTATATAGAACACGACCGAGGACTTTAATTTTAACGGTTTCCACGCCCATGCCCCAGTAGTTGCTAAGGAAAGCCGCTTCTTCTCTCCACTTAATTGATCTGTGATGTTATCTGAACCACCCTGTAAGTAATGGCCCATGTATGTACATTTAATAGCATAAACAGATTGAAATAATTTTTATTATTCTGTTCTTATGTGCGGCACTGATAAATGGAGCTAAATTGTAAATAGATTTCATTTTACTGCGTCATGAGCTTGCGTCATGAGGTTTTGTTCAAGACATCTCAGAGGTAGAACTAACCATGTGTGTGCGTGTGTGTGTGTGTGATAAAGCATGCAGGTTCTCAAGCTCTCGGGAGATGATGAATTCGAATACTGTCTGAGAACCGGATGTACTAACCTGTATATTCTCTACTTCTCAGTTACTCCAGAAAATCGTGAAACAAGAATTATTAAAACAATAATTCAGAAAGTCTCTGACCATGGATGATTCATCTTCTTTATCATGTTCGTGGATTAGGCCGTCCTTGGCCTGTTCCGTGTTATTCAAGAGTATATTGAGTCCTCTATATTAACTGTTTTCTTATCTCTAGTTTCTGCACAATCTCCACGACACATTCTAGGTGGTACATCATATAAACTAACTAGTATCTATTTCGTAAAACACTACGTGTTTCTACAATTACTGATCATCATCACAAGTAATAAATTCATCTTACGTGTACGTGTAAAAGGTAAAGCTACCCCTGTAACAGACCGTGAAGGCCGATAGGGGTGTGAGATGTCGAGGCCCCCACATCTTCTAGACAATCGGCTCACTAATGGCCTTAAGGCCCTATCGCCCTTTGCCCCTAGAACAATTCCTTGTACTCATTTCTGTTAGGGGCTGCGTCCACCACAGGACCATAGTGGCTGGAAGGATTAGGTAAATTGAAAAATCCAATGACCTCATCGGGATTCAATCCCGCGAACTTCCGGTTTGTGGCATAGTTCCTCAACCAACTACGCTACTGCGTGCCCCATTTTTACATGTGTGAGATTAATTAAAATATTGCAGATATTAATTTTTGTTTTAAATTGAATCCACTGACATATGTTGTGATAACTCTACAAGATATGGTATAACTTAAAATTATCTAAAATTATAAAAACTGAAATTTATTAAGATGGGAGTAGCTTAAATTATAAAGTAAAAATTGAGATTTTTCCACAGTGAGATTACTACTTGGTTCAAGGTAGGGTTTCCTTATAAAATGTTTCGTGTTATGCACAGAACCTAGGAGTATATATCCCTGTTGTGTTAGTCAATAATGTGAAGTTGCTAGTTCCATTTCCAGATGTTCCCTCGAATGCATTCCTTGTGTATCATTAATATGCCATGTTGTTATGGTTGTATGAGAGTGTTGTATTATGTATGGTGATTTGAGGTTGTTGTGTGACTGGATTGATGTACATTTTATATTTGTTATTATATGTTGCGTAGAATCTGTAACTCATTACATTTTGTGGTAATGTGTTGTTTATGTTGTGTGTGCCGAGAGTTGTGCAAGCAGTCAGAACGTGACAACACAACTGGACACATTTTCCAGCGAACAGCTTGTTAGTGGCACGCACTTTCTCTAACACACTGGTTCAGCAACGGCCATTATTGGTCCTTCAATACGAATCCAAGTAATTTTATTGGAGGATGAGCTGGGGTGCGAATTCGTATTTGTGGCGTCCAGGGTATCGCGGATTTCGGTCCGATTCTTGTGTCGTCACACTTAGCGAGCACTCTCCTCTTCCTGAAAATATTGAATGCGGTTTTTCTTAGGTACTCAACATTAATACCGGGGCACTCTCTGTTTTGGAACAATATCTTTGTTCTTTCCTATGGTCTTTCCTATCTTTCAGAGCTGAAACCCGCTCGTTATGTACTCATATTCTGTGTTCCTTGTCGGGGAATCCTTGATTTCTTCCCACCTGTTGCTGTACTACATGCAAGGAGTCCAAATGTCGCTTCAGTCGCCACTTGTGGGGAGATATTTTTTTAATTTTGATTGTAATATGTGTAGGTCGCAATTATTATTAATTGTTTAGTTCTGCTTTCGTCAATTTTGAATTTAATTTCTTGTTCTTTCAGTTTCAGGCGACTGAGGCAGCCGTCAGTTTCCTGTGGACATACCTTGCTGTATGCTAACCAGCATGTTGCGCGTGTCCAGCACCTCCATTTCTGCGATTTACGTCCACAGGGCACCCTCTACTTCATGGTCCCGTAGTGCAGTGTGTCGAACCGTGTCTACAGTCTCTCAGTGTTGCACGTCACACGCGGCATTCTGGGAGCCCACGAACGCTAATGAGGGCACTTTTATACAGCAGTGGAATTTGCCTGGGAAATGATGTGTGCGAGGTGTGTTGTTCACAGCCTTCGAGATTTGTGTTGCCCGGAGTCTGCGGTTCGAAATGTTCTGATGGACACCCCTTCTGTGGACCCATGGGTCGTATTTGGGGCGAGGGGTGCTGTGCCAGTGGCTTACAGGTATACGCGCTAGTGAACCGACATCTCTGCCTTGTCCCTCGATCGGTCTGCGCATCCAGCGCGCATGTGTTCCCCTTCCCCTTTCGCCCTTGAGCAGCCTTTCCTCTCCTCCTCTGCTGAGCGGTTCTCCCTCTCAGTCTCTCTGTGTTTGTGTCTTGCATCCGTAGGTGGGCGCTAAAATTTCTTCTGGTCACTAGTCAAAGTTGTCCAAAACACCTATCGTTGAGGAAATTCAGCCCCTTCAAAGTCTGCCGAGGTAAGCTGTTTAATTAAAAAAGTAAAGTAAAGGTAACCCTGTAGCAGACCGTGGAGTTCAGGTTCCCACATTTTCTAGACAATCGGTTCACAGATGGCGGTAAGATTGTGAGCCCTACGCGCCGGCAGCCCCTTTACCCCCAAGGATATTCCGAGAATATGCCTGGTACTAATTTCAGTTAGAAGCTGAATCGAAGTTGTTTGATTTCATAAATTAAAGGAGGTTTTCTAACCTTAAGTGGACAGGCCAGGTACAAGCCGAATTTGGGCTGTTTAGTTCCTTTGGACCACCCAGCATATATTTTTTTACTGCCAAGGATACTGTTTTGATCGGGTATGAGCTCGCTCGTATTGTATCTTGTTTAATTAAATATATATCACTTTAATATCTTGCTTTCTTCCATGTACAGTTCAACTTGTACGCCCCCTTGTACAAGTGTCTCATTCCCATTCGACCCGCGACAGTTCAGATGGTGTACCGATACATGTAACATGAACTGGAGGGAACAAGACCCACTACTCAGAAGCTTCTAGTAGTGTGAGTTGTGCAGCCCTTCCCGGCGTTGGGATCGAAAGATGTGAGTAAAGCTAATTGCGTAGTTTACAAGTACTGGATATGTGTTGCTGAATGAAACAAACTTCGTTAGAATTGGACAGCCCCTCCCTTCAGCACGAATGTAAGATGAAAGTAACGTTAAATATAAACCAGGTTACATGTGCTGGGTACAAATACCGAAAGACAAAGATATATATTTGTTACTGTGTGTGCGACAATTCCCCTCAAAGAACCATAAGATGCGAGTCATGTTGAGTGTAAAGGAGGTTAATTGTGCAATTTGCATTTTATTGAACAAAGAAAGTTTCTTCAAGACTGCTAAACTTATCTAATGCTTTGTTCGAAGTCAGGTGTAAAGACGCAGAATGTATATGTTACTTTCAACTTGCGTTCATGAATCCTTTGATATATACAAACTTTCTGCTTAGTAATGACGGCTATCTCTTTTTAAACAGATTCACTCTGCAGTTTGATCGACACAGGGAGTGTCAGTACTGATATTTTCGATTTTCGAATTATTTTTAATACCTATTACTTTCTAAACATTTATTTATTTTTGTTGTTGATTTTCGTTTTCTTCTTCTTGCTTCACGCATTACAATGACTTTTTAGGACTCAGCATTTTAACCTACTTTTTTCTCGTAAAGAAAGGAAGATAGACGCATGGAATAATCACTTCACCGTGTTATTTGTCCGACCTTGAGCCTATCCCCATCAGTAACCTTTGAAGTAAGACCGCACCATAGCTCAAGCGGTTAGTCGCTGGCTTCCCACTGCGGCGGCCCAGGTTCGAACCCAGGTCTAGTAAAGTGGAATTTGTGGTGGACAAAGTGTCGCTGGGGCAGGTTTTCTCCGAGTACTTCAGTTTACCCTGCCAGTCTTCATTCCACCAAATTCTCCGTCATCGTAATCACCCGGGGAAAGTACAATAGGCCAATCAGTGGCCGATGTGCCGAGTGGACCCAGCTGAACTCCACTCCCCGCTATGCGAATTAAAAAAAAATCTTTGAATTAACTGATAAACTCTCATGAGATTTCGTAATAGCATCATATCATTACAGGTGAACACATGTATCTGTTTCTTAATTATTTACCTTGAGTAATATTTAACGTACCTGCCGACAGAACAGAGGTTTATGTGTCTGCAAGAAGCACAGTATACTTTACTTAAATTCTGTTATTTATTAATTATGTGGAGAAATGCTACTATTGAAAAGTGTATATTTCTATGTTGTATAATGAATGAATGTATAAGGGGTGGGCCTTCTCGGCCCTTGCACCGCGACCTACAGTGATCTCTTGTGCCTATATTTCTTTGTCAAGGAGTTATGTATTAATGCTTCAACTAAATGCTTTCTTTTACGAGTTCTGAGAAAACTGAAGTTCACTTTGATTTCATAGGAATGGTTGAACTACGGAAGGGAAAACGAAATTCTTTCGGAACCCGCTAGCATAAAAATTCCCTGCCACCACGGTCAAATACAAAATATTCGTATAATAAATTTTTGTTTCTTGGTTTTCGATCTTATAGACCCACACGGAGCCTAAGCGACATTCAAGTTATACTATCGTGCCCCCACAAGGAGAAATCTGCACTGTAATATCAGGAAAAATATTATTGCTTCTGGTTGCTACATACATTTAAAGCCTCTCGGGATTTAGACTTACAATCATGTCGTTTTTGTGGCTTTTGGAATGAGCTCCGTGACCATGGGTACTACGAAGAATAACTCACTGTTGTCACGGTTCCAGTATTGTCATTGTGGAGGAAAGAATAGAGAAAGAAACTCACTTGAACTGGAACTCCCTGCGCGTAGGAGCAAATTAACAGTATTCCTGAGATTATCTCAATGCAAGGAACATTGTTTTCTGTATTTACTGTACTTTTAGAACGCCCCTTCTGAGGGGAAGCAGAGTTAGGACTACAGGCAGAAAGATGCACGAAATGTCGTTTCGCCCTTAGCCTACTGTACAATACTATATGTTACGAGCAAAACCGTCCAACTGCGATATTCTCGGCAAAATCGTCGAAAATTTATCTGTATTTTCAGAATTGCATCTTTAGCCAATTCTTTATTTCTGCAAAAAAAAAAAAAATTGTGTATAAATAATATGAGGATGGGTAAATAAATAATCTATATACAATTATAACAATTTTGTCACAAGAACGAGAAATTGAAATTGAATACTAGATAATGTTTGCATAACTGTGTAAGGCAAAATTTGGCCACTTGTATGAAGATACAAAGAAACAGAGACAGCTTGTATGATGTAGTTTGCTTAGAAGGTGGGACTTTGGCTAACACAACTTCATTATTTTATACAATAAGGCATAGATTAAATAAAATTTGAATTATATATGTAAACTTCTATTTTAAATTTGCTCTGGCTCGAAGTGCAAGAACAATTAATGTGCCCCTGATCTCCTAAATGGGACTATTTCTTCCCTTGAATTCTCGGTGGATGATTTCCTCTTGTGTAATGCCTGAGGCAATCAGATATCTGGAATTTGTGATACACATCCTAGACTTTTCCCATATTTTATAATAATAATCTCTTGTCGCACATTGCTTCCATCCACTGTGCTCTTGTGGACACCCCTAAGTTCCTCGAGCCTGGCCGTACAGCTAAGGACTTGTAGGAGAATTAGTTATACTGCACTGTCATTTCATCATCGTGGCCTATTTAACCAACGACTTAAAAATCGCGTTACACTTGTTCTTACTTTGCTTTCCAACTTGTTGCATCTTTGGAAAATATTTTACCTTCACTATTTACGGAACTGTATTTCTGACCAAGCAACATACGTGCCTAAGGAGTGGGCTTGACTGTTGGCCCTTGCACCCCGACCTTTAGCGATCTATTGCACATATATTGGCAACAATGTAGGATTTGAATTTCTAAGATAACGGTTATCTTCTGGAATATAACGCCATATAGACCATTTAAACTCGACCGACGTTGCGGAGGAACATGTAGCCTCCATCTTCAGGGTCGAAGAATAAACCAATCAAGAAACCAGCGTGAAGCAGAAAACAATCATAGTTTCTTCTATGACCCTGAAGAAGGAAACGATATTTTCATCCGAAACGTAGCTTGATTTTCAACTGATTACATACCCCAGAAATAAAAATTTTCATCCTAGAACAAGTTTTGCAATTTTGTCACTTACTTTTCACAAGTTATTTCGATTTCAGTTAAACTAATTGACATTAGAGCGTCAGTACCACCCAGACTGTTTTTGCTTGGAGCCCTCTTCAGAATCACCTCTGAGTTGCAGGTACCAGAGATGACATCTGCTTCTCTAGCAGATATTACTTCTTCAGGGATCTGACCGTTCGCGGCTTGGGAGGAATTAATCTTTACGAACTTAAGTCGAATATTTTGTGGCATCTGCCGCCATCCATTTACTCACTGTATGATATTTTATCCGGGGTACGCGGCAGCATAGTGGTTGAGGGGCGATGCTACAAGCCGGAAGGTCGCTGGTTCAAGTCCCGATGAGGTCATTGTATATTTTTCAATTGATCTAATCCTTCCAGCCGCACTATTGTCCTGGGGTCGACTCAGCCTCTAACAGAAATGAGTACCAGGAATATTCTTGAGGGTAAAGGGCGGCTGGTGCGTAAGGCTGATAACCTTGCCGCCATATATGAGCGGATTGTCTAGAAAATGTGGGAACCTCAACATCTCTCAACCCTATGGGCCTCCAAGGCCTGTTACAGGGATAGCTTTACTTTACTACTTTTTACTTACATCTAGTTTAGTAATTCGATGAACTCTTCCCTATATTTGTGAATGGTGTGGATTGCAGAGGAACAACTTTCAGAGTTTTCCGCATAACAATCCGGTAATTTTGTTGTTCTCAAGTTCATGGTAATATCATGTACGTCTGGTATTCTGAAGAGGTAAAAGTTTCTACTGATTTCTGTAGCAGTTCAATGCTTTCTGGTTTTCAGTAACCGAAAATTATGAAAGTCAGTATTTCTTGAGATGGCTTGATTACAACACTGAAATATGAAGTCATGCTTCCAAGTATGAATGTTGGTGTAAGTTCAAGTTGGCCTCATGCTTTCAAATAATGGAAGTCATTGGCTTTATGTGCAGATTCTCCTGCGGGATACGAGCTCTTTTTTGATACTATTTAACTTAAATCTAGTGCTCCCTTCTGGCGGCAGACAAAGTACGCAGTACTGGAATTTTCTGAAAGCTAAAAAATCCTTTATTAAGAATAAATTAAATGATACCTGGAATACGATCATATTTCAATCCAATAAACTATATTCACACAAATTTCATTAAGAAGAAAGCAGTCTTCTGGGATGTGGCACCGTGTAGATGTGGTGTTAACTGACGTTTCGGAGGAACGTATCGCCTCCATCTTCAGAATAGAAGGAAAAATAAGAAAATTGTACTGCCCTGTTGCTATCGTGTTGAAACATTCGCGTGCCCTGAATTTCGATTTTTGATTGGCAGTCGCCACTTAACACATTATTTTATTTTATCTTTCTAAAAAAAGGCGCTAGAATGAAGTTTCTTCAGATATTTCAGTTCTGTTTAAAATTTCACTTTAATTTTGTGGCATATTTTCTCAAAGCAAGAATTATGGAGCCAGAAGAAACGTCCAGTGCTAAGGAATAGCATGATAACAATATATGACCCATGGCTGAAGAAATATCATTAGAAGCAAGCAGTCAGATCACGAGGTTGACGTGAGATTGTCGTCAGCCCGCAAGGGTGGAGCCTGGAAATTGAGAAACAATTGTTATTAGAAGCTGCTACCAAGCGACGTGACCGAGAACAGTATTCTGTGTGACATTGTTCAAAACCTGTCTATAGTTACTTATCACGTGACAATATCATTCCAAGCCATTTCACTTCCTTTCATCTGTAGAACATTATCAGTACTGCATGAGGCTATGTTCAAAAGCGAATATCATTAAATCCATGCTGTAACTATAGACCTCCTCTCTAAAGTCGTAAACAACGGAGATGAATCAAAATTTTGTGTTAAGAAAGACG